CTCTTCCTCCTCCTCCTCCTCCTCCTGCTCCTCCTCCTCCTTCTTCTGTATTTTAGGGAAGGATCTACAGGCTGTTCAGGGTCTCACTACTAGATCCGACTTATAGTGATTCACCTGTTTATAGCCTCCCAAGAGCTGCCATTGCAGATGCAGACCACCATGCACAGTCTCAATTGCAGTCGCAGTGCACGCTGGGGGCTGGGCCAACCCAGCAGGCCCAGGGATAAACCCTGGGCCCCTGTGCTTGCTTGTAGGTGCTTTAATCCCCTGAGCTATTTGGCCAGCCCCCCTTTTTTTCCATTCTCACCTTGTCTGCAGTTGGCAGACTCCATCTATGAGAGTATGCTGACAGGAAGGGCAGCGTTAGCCTTGCTGCAGGAAGCGACCCAGTTGTAATTTTATCTTCCTCAATGGACTTTGCACATTTACCTCAACAAAGACACATGCCCAGAATCCTTTTTTTTTTTAAATTTTTATTTTTATTATAATTTTCTTCTTTTTAAAGAGTAAAAACAAGAGCAAGAAAAACAAAAGAAAAGACAGAAACAGGATAACATGTAACAATACATACATTACAGATTTTCAAAAGCAAGGATATCTGGTTAACAGTGACTGATATGTTATCTATTTTTATCATCAAATCTGTTGCTCAGATTAACAGATGTAGTTATGCAAGTTGGGACTATGATTGAATATTACCACATGTTTTCAAGAGAGCTTAAATTTTTTTCTTGACTCATTTTCTTTTATTACTTTTAAAAAAAATTACTTTTAAGAGAGTATAGTAATAATTGATAAGACATTCGAAACAGTACACATTTAGAAGACCAAGATGATGGGTATTTCAAACATGCTTTACACATTGTTGTCCTCAATGCAGTTGCTTAGCTCACAGATATCAAAATAGAGATCTAGTCAGGGTAAGAATTATACCCAGTAACTACTATTTTCAAGCTTGCCTGGCAAACACAAGGGCCTGAGTTCAATTCCCAGTTCCCCCCCCAAAAAAAAAAGCCTAATGGAAATTCTTAGGATTATTGCCTTATTCAACCCAGAATTCTTATGTAAATTTGAACAAAAGCATATTCGCATACAGTAGGGTCATACATCAAATCACTCACTTTCAAGACTACTCAGCAAGTTGGGGGCGAGGGACAGGGACATAGCTCTGCAGAGTAAGTGCTTGCCTGGTGAGTACAAGGGCCTGAGTTCAATCCCTGGTTCTGAAAAAAAAAAAAGAAGACTACTCAGAAAGTAACAGACAATAATAGACAGAAAATCATGCTTGAACACAGAAGAGAACCTATCTCCAACAGCCATAATTATACACATCAAAAGATACATTTCACCATGGAAAATAATGACACTCTTTGCTGTAGAAATTTGATCACACCAACACATACATTCTTACACATACACAAGCACTGCCAGGAGCACACAAAGGCACACATGCAAATGCACACATGCAGATTCTCTATGTGTGAGACAAACAAAAGGAGATGTGTCCACACACCCTAAATGCACACAAACCAGTTGTACTCTGAAACAGTCACCAGCATTTGTGAGCGTAGTCAAATTTTCAGTTTTCCCAACTAGATTTTCATCTCTTCCTTTTTACAACTTCATTGAAGGCAAATAGATTTACAAAATCACCACATATTTAATGCATACAATTTGATCATACACATATATTTGAGAGACCATTGCCACAAAGTAGTAAAATATATTCATCACCTACACAAGTTTCCTGTCTTTTGTGTATGAGTGGGTGGTAAGAACATTCAACATGAAACCTACAGGTTTTATTTTGTTTTGTTTTTTTTTTTCGGAACCGAGGATTGAACTCAGGCCCTTGCGCTTGCCAGGGAAGCGCTTATTCCACTGAGCCATCTCCCCGGCCCCAAACCTACAGTTTTAACAAATTTTCAAGTGTTTAACACATTACTGCTCATTAAAGTTAGTATGCTATGCAGGAGCTCTTTGGGAATAACTCGTATTGAATCACTATAACTTCATGACAATGGGAAAACCTCTTTCCAGGTCTTGATTTCCCTATTTCTCCTTTGCTCTGATCCCTGAGAATTACTACTTTAATCTCTGTCTTTGAGTTTGACTATTTTAGAACCACTAAGTAGTGAAATCAGGCAACATTTTTCTTTCTGCCTTACGATATTTAGCATAAAGACTTCTATGTTTATTTATGTTACTATCAGTTACAAAGTTTTCTTTTCAAAGACCGAAAAAGAATAATAATCAGATTTTAATCATTTATTTATTGGTGGATATTTAGGTTGTTTCCATAATTTAACTATTGTGGATATTATTTCAGTTATGGAAATGCAGATGTCTTTTTCAGATCATGATTCCAGTTCTTTTGGGTATATACCCAGAAGTGAGATTGCTGAATCACACGGGAATTCACTTTTCACTCTTCTGAGCAATTGCCACACTGTTTCCCAGAACAGCAGCTCTGTTTCATACTCTCGCCTGTACTGTAGGAGTTGAACTCCAACTTCTTCTTCATCCTGGACAATCTGCCCATTTGAAATATTTTATATATATAAAATACATATCCAATATATGTTTTATATATAAATATATGTAATATATTTTATATGTTTAATATATATTGAGTAGAAAATAGTCATTCTAACTGGCATAGCATGCCACCTATTGTAGTTTGGATTTGCACTTCTCTAGTGATGTCCTCATTGCTCCTTTTTTGGTTTTTGGGGGGTTTGTTACTTCTAGCCAAGTGAATGGGGTTTTATGGACACTCCCCTTACCAAGAGCCCATCATTGCCAGGCTATTTGCTTAGTGCTTACATCGACTCTTGCCTACATCTGGTCTGCAGGTGACTCCCAGCAGGAAATGGCTATGTGCAGCCCCCAACCTGACTGACATTACAGGGATAGACAGGGCTCACTGGAAGGGTCCCAGCCCTCTACATATCCCGGAAAGGATCTGTGTTTCTATCTGATCCAGGTTTCTATCTAACAACATTCATTTTGAGAGGAAACTTCTGTTACAGCTCATTTCAAGGGGTCACACTAGAGTTCCCAATGCAGATGTTTTTGCTTCAACAAGATGCGGCCTACGGCAGTATCCCTCTTTCCTTCCCACTCTCAGAGCAAACTGTTCTGCCTAAGAACAGGAAGTTGGACTTTTCTCCTATTGAGAAAAGTCCCCTTTCAACCAAATTATTTTAATGCTGTCTTTATGACAGCCATAACTTAGTAGGTAATAACTTAAGAATGACAACAAGTGACAAAATGATGGAGAATATTTTACATACTTGCTTGAAAAATTGTCATTAAATATGAATCTATCCAGCATGTCTCTAAAAGGCTATTTATGAGGTGAGTATATGGGCAGGACATGAGAAATAAGAACTGGATTTATAAAAACAAAAATATTAGGAATTATTATTTAATAAAGAGATCATACTAAGAAATGATCAGGATATTAATCAGGTTTCCTTAGGGATTTGTTACAATATTAAGGAAAGGATGTGAAATGGAATGGGAACCCTGACCTAGGAATCGTATGAATCATCCTGAATTTTAATTGTATTCAACATAAAAGGAAAAAGTAAACAAACACTCAGTTCAGTTGAAACTCCTGAAACTCTTTTAAGATAGGAAAAGTATCATCTATGACACAGTTCCCGTTCAAATGGCGCCAGAAAACAATAATGCCCTTTTTGGCCCTTTCTAGAACCCAACCTCCTACTTCTCATTCAAGCTGAAGGAGTAAGAGCTGAATTGACTTCCCCAGTGATGACAGTTTAGCCGAGTTGGTCAAAACACAGTTGGAAGGTCTTAAATTGTAGCACAGAATTTATTCCACTCACACCGCAAGCGCCATGAGATTAGCAGTTGTGCGCATCTTGTGCACCCCTGAATTACTTGCTGAGAGCGTGACCCCTGCCACACTATAGTTCTAGTTAATGGAGCCAATACTGGCTCTAACTGTGTAAGAATCATCTCTGGAGATTTCCCTCCTCAGGTCAAAGCTGTTGTTTCTTGCTGGCTGTTTTCTACACCCGCTGTTCCTTCCAGAGTCCATGCTTTTCCATCCATCAGGGCTTTTCTGAGTCGTCTCCAGAAGATGTGCCGCCCAAGGACATTGTCCTCCCACTCCAGGTAAGTGTTCCTGCTGAGGAGGCGATACAGCTCCACCTGCTGCCGGAGCAGTGACTTCTCTAGCTTCTGCAGGACAACGAAGATGATGCCAGAGCGGCTGCTGAGAAACTGCCAAGTCTGAGCAATCTCGTACTCGAAGATACACCAGCGGCTCTGGATAAAGTGCCGAGACACCACCACAATAACCTTCCGGCTTTTGTGGAAACCCTCTTGGATGATGTTGGCAGCAATGGCCACACCAGGAATAAAGTCTCTGTAGTGAAGGCAGAGACGAAAGGGGGGTACCCCTTCTTCCAAGTTCTTCACCAACTCGTTTCTCACCCAGTCCTCATCCTGGCTTGAGTAGATGACAAAGGCATCATAGATGTTTTCACCTCGACCATATCTTTTGCAGCCAGCAAGAAGCATGAGATGAAAATAAAACTTATAGACCAGACCTACTATCACAGATACCACGGCAACACTGACCACCGTCACAATGATGATGACTTTGGTTATCTGACAGGTAGTATTACTGAAACTCAGCACGAGCTTACCCTCCATATCTGGAGGCATCACACATTCTAAGTTTTTAGCATCCACCAAGAGCTGCCTCTGGTCTTTAATCCACTGCAGAAAACTCTGGTGTTTACAAGAACAATCAAAAGGGTTCTGAGTGAGGTTCAGTACAGTTAAATTACTTGGGAAGTGCTGTAGTTCTTGCCCATTGGAAGATACTATTTTATTGAAGCTGAAATCTAGAATCTGGAGTGTATGCAAAGGTTTAAAAGAGAATGCATCCAGTGATATGAATTTGTTGTGACTCATATTCAGGAACTGAAGTTTAAGGAGTGAGTCAAATACTCCCTGGGACACATATTCCAGCTGACACATTGAAAGATCCAGGAAGGTCAAATTTGTCAGATCTGTGAAGATACCTGAAAGGGCGTTGCCTTTGAAAGAATTGCCAGCCATTTTTAAGACTTGAAGACTGACCAAACCACTGAAGATGCCATGGAAGGCGACCTCAGTGTGCGTGTAGGAAATGTCAAGATAAAGCAGTTTGCTGAGTGATAAGAATACTGAAAATTCACTTGCCTGTTTCAAAGTAGAATGCTGAAAATCTAGATGTTCTAGTAGTTCTAAACCCAGGAAGTTTGAACTCATAGTTACAACATCATTGAAGCTTAGATCTAAATACTTCAGACTGGTTGTTCCCATATCCCTCTGAGAACAACAACCCTTAAAACTCATGCCATTTCTACTGAGGTCTAGAAACTCAAGATTCTTCAGTTCAAACTCTGAAAAACTGATCGCACCTCTGTTGGCAGTGAAAACATATCTTTTGAGAGAAGGCAGCTCCAACATGGGGAATTGATTAACTTTACACTTCACCAGCTCTAAAGATTGCCATTGTAGATCATTAGGGAGGCCTTCAAGGCTTTGTATGTACAGATTTGCCAGAGACACTGCAGAAGCATTTACCAAACATTTAAAGAAGCCATTAATGTTTTTGGGAAAGTCATCTAAATACGCCAGCCTGAACTCTGAAATGGTCAGGTTGCACAGTCCTTCCAGGGCCGACTTGTCAAACTCTTGCACATACCTTTCATTCTTAAATTCTCCCAGAACCAACTGATGGACCTCTAGACCCGTCAGACCATAAATACAAGTTTTCATTACATGTGCACTATCAAAATTACTTCTCAAAGTTAGTCCTTGAAGCCTCATTTTGTCAAAGGCACCAGGTTGGATAAAATCAATTGGGTTTAAAGAAAGGTCTAAGGAGAGATTGGGCTTGTCGTGCAGAACATGGAGGTCCTTATGATGAATCTCTTGAATCTTGTTATTGGAAAGGTCCAAGTATCCCAAGTTGCTCAGGTTAGAAAAATATTCAGGTAACTTCAGGGAATGGATAAGGTTGTGAGCTATATTAAGCTCCTTCAGGGTTCTGAGATGCCTGATAGGGAAGTTCTCCAGAGAGGACAGATTTATCTCCACAGCCACCAGCTTCTGTAAACTGAGTAGTCCAGAAAAAGTTCCCGGTGCTAAATTCTGGATAGGGTTTCCCGTCAATATTAAGGTAGAGAGGTAGTCTAAGCCCCAGAATGCATCGTCTTTAATGTCTTGAATTTCACACCTACAGAGAGAAAAGATGCAGAGCATATATTTGTGGTGAACACAAGTTCAAAATAGAATGACAATCACAGTCATGTAGCTTTTCATACAGATGTGATATCCCATATAATTGTACATGGACAAAGACAAGCAAAGCAGATGATGGTTATATGAACAAACAAGGAGCTCCACAGATTCAATATTATCATGCTAACTGCAATGATAAGTTGTTTGGTTTTTTTAATCACGTTAAGCACACATGCTAAGCAGAGTCAGCAAATCCTTCAGAAGAAAATCAACTGAAGGTCAATAATTAGTGTGTATGAAGGTTGCATGGTTGATAGATTATATAATAGTCTTATATCAGGGTTAGTCTTTTCTTGCCATGTGTCATTTTGATCATGCATGTGATTGGGATAGAAGATATGAGTAGCTGTCAGTTGTCAGCCATGTAGTTGACTGAAGAATGTCAATTTGAAAGATGAACAAATACCAAGAAAAGATACAGAAAGGTCAATGCATGTAGTGACATATCAGTGTCATAAATACCCTTGACTTTGTGCAAGACAGATATTTGAAAGTTGTGATCACAGGTAATTTTCCATAACAGGTAAGCATAAGTTTTGTGGAAGAAAAAGGAAGTGCTGTAGGACACTGTGGTGGTTGATACATTGTGTCAACATTCCTATCCTGTGCAAGAGGAGGACTTAGACATTGTGTGAGTTCTACACTGCCACCCCAGGGTAGCCTGTTTATAATATACAAAAAGGAGACAGCTGTTGCTCCTCCCTTTGTTCTTTGTTCTTTTCCGCCACCATAAGCTGCTGCTCTCTGCCATGTGCCAGTCTGCCTTGGGGCCAGCAAAATATAGGCTAAAAGTCCACTAACTGTGAGCTAAATAAACCTTTCCTTCCTTAATTTTGAATGTCAGATATTTAGTCCCAGCAGCAACAATAAAAAAAGGATAACTGCATCAGTGAAACTGATGCAGACTAGGGAATAGGTAAGTTGCAACTTGTAGGGCTGGCCAGATAGCTCAGCAGACTAAAGTGCCCGCTTAGGCAGAGCGCAGTGCCTGGGGTTCGAGCCTCAGCATGCCATGCCAGCCCTGCCTCTGGGGTGCGTTGAGATGGTGACAAACACTGGGCATGGTTGTGCATGCCTATAATCCCAGTGCTTGAGAGGCTGGAAACAGGAAAATCACTATAAATCCTACCTACGTAGTGAGACCCTGTAGACCCTGTACTAAATACATGAGAAAAAAAAGAAAGCTAAGCTTGCAACTTGTGTAAATAAACATCAATAAGAATGAAGTAAAGGTACAGGGAACAGGTCATGCCCTAACTCCAAGCAACCACGATGCATGGAGAATCCATGCAGAACCACAGCATTTGGGGCTGCAAGGTAGAAAGGGTACTGGAAGGGAATAAGACAGGGTAGTGAAGAAGGAAGTTTCAGGAAAAGCAGAGGACTACAAGCAGATCGGAGATTTAGATTATAGCTCAAGAGAAGCAGATATCATGTTCCAGGCAATGGAGACATTCCACAGGCTGGGATCTTAAGAGTCTCGTGCTCTACCGACTGAGCTAGCCGGGCAACACTGGCTGGGATCTTAAGCAGCCAATAACAGACAGCAGGTTTTTGGCAAACTGCTGCTAGTGCTGGAGGTGCCTGTCAGCAACAACTCGTACTTGGATTTAGTGCTGCACAGCCCCAGTTAGTGTTTCCCATCCTGCCTGTACCCTCCGGAGGTCCTTGAGTAACAAAAGCATTTGAACCCAAGCTTTTGTTATTTCCTTATAACTGGATAAAGAGTGCTGGGTGTGGCACAAAAAGCACTAGGAAGGGGACTAGCTTTGGTGCGCCTGTTATCCTCTCTTACTGTCTGATCTCTGGAAACCATTTCTTTCTTTCTGGATTCAAAGGCTGCATGAAGCACTAAACTTGATAATTCATAAAGTTCCTTCTTTTAGACAGGTAATTCCATAGCCCATAACCTTATATGTATATTGCTTTACACATGAGGTAGGACTGAAGAAGTCTTGCTGTGTTTCTGTCTTCGTGCTGACAGTTCCTCACTTGAGAAGCCCGAGTGTTAAGACAAAGAAGACACTGTATTCAAAAGGAAACACTATGAATTTGAGTCTCTGGGCTGCTGAAATAAGCAGTGTGAATGTACAAAACAAACTTAGACTTTTGAAGCCTCAGTGTCTGTCTGTCTGTCTGTCTCTCTCTCTCTCTCTCTCTCTCTCTATATATATATATATATATATATTGTTTAATGTTACACACACACACACACACACACACACACACACACAGATGTGGGAAATGGTGCACTGATAGACATCTATCCTAATACATCAACACTATATGAACAGACAAAGGATGTAGGTTGTGGTGTGGCCTATACTTGCCCTAATTCAGAATCTCCTGTATGCTAACCAGACAGGAAAGTGACCTCCTTTAAGCACATATTTAGCGCCTCAAAAGAAAGTTCCTTGAGTATATGGTAGATGAAAGAGAAATTTTGAGAATTATGAGAAAATACTTCTGATTTTAAGAAAAGGAGGAGTTTGGTTTCTCGGTACTTCAATAAAGTTCTTGACAAAATTCCCTCTTGATAAGCTACAATTTAGAATCTAATGAAATGTATAATAACATTTTACACATACAAAATATATTTTTATAGGGTGTTTAGTATATATAAAACATGCTACTATCCATGAACACATTTAACTATCCAGGATAAGTTCCTTGCTTCTATTTAACAGATATGAAAACTGATCCTTGGGAAGATGGAATGGCACACCTAGGATCACAGGGTTATAAATGCTTTAGTAGAACTTGTCTGGGATTTCTTGACCCCCAAAATTTTGTGTTACTCTCCTGGCCTTAAAATGTCCCTTTCTCATTTCATTATCCTATACCAATGCCATGGTTTCTGTCTAGATGTCCCCCCAAAGCCTCATGCACTCATAGGTAGGGCTTTTTAGAAATGTCTGCGTCTAGGGTGTGAGACCCTGGAATTAAATTGTGTGACTCTGGGAACAAATGATACAATGCTGGGATCAAGGGTGTGGACTAAGTTAGTCCACTGAAGTGGTAAGTATAGCTCTGGGCATGGGTAATAGGAAGGTCCACCCTGGGTGTGGGTAGTCCCACCCAAACCACAGGCTGCCTGGAAGAGATAAAAAGAAAAGGCTTCTACCTCACTGTTTGCTGACCCTTCCTCACTGCTTTGCTGCCTTTGCCTGTCATGAACTGTTTCTCTTCTGTGATTCCCCTCCCCTCTGCCACTTTCCCTTCTTTAGCCTACTATGACTGAAGCATCTATAAACTGTGAACTACAATAAGCCTTTCCTCCTATGGCTTTGGGGGTCAGGTATTTTATCTGAGCAATGAGAAGAGTTACTAAAACAACCTCTATCCCACTTGAAATTCATGAAACATTAATTAGTTGCTTTCTTCTCTACAAAAATCCTTCTAAAGAGGACTTTCATACTATGGGCTTATAAAAAATTTATGTGATGAACTCCATATATGAAATAAATCTATATTTCCTATAAAACATTATAATGAATATGGCCTGTTATCCCCTCTATGATGAGATCCTTCAAGATGAAATTAATTTAAGATTTGAACCCTTAAAAGATATTATGTTCACCTTCTCCAATAAAATGACATACTTCTCTGCATCAGAAAATAGTTTAGTCACTATTCTCTGGTTCAGAGCTGATGTTTTCCTTTGATTATGGCCTCATTTTCCTGGGTTACTTATTCCTTTCCTTTCCCCAGCCCCTACCTCACTTTCAATATTTTAAGACATCTGCACCCTGGTCAGTTCCTCAAATCTTTTCTGACCACCTGCTAAGCTTCTCTAGTGAACTACACAATTTGTTACCTCTAGTTATATACTTTATCATCTGTGGTCATAAATCACGATCCTTATCTAGCTTCAGAATGCAAAATGTCAGAATTAGATAACATTTTTTTGAATATTCATTACGTGGCCAGCAACATGGCCAGATTTTTAACATGTTAACTCTTTTAAGAGATTATATCCTCCGAAAAACAGGTATGAATCATGTGTCAGTAGAGTTTGTTTCCTAGCCAAGTGTCATAAACATCTGGTGATGCAAGCACTTAAGTCAATAAAGTGGCACTGTGGTTCACAAACTTAGTTCTTTCTACTATTCTGGTTGCAAATTGAATCACATTTCCCTATAAGGTCAACATTGAACCTAACCACTGAATTTAATTTGGTTTGTGATCAATTCGGTTTGTGATCAGAATTGTGGAAAGAATTAAGTTCATGAACCAAGGTACAACTGTATTCTCCACTGACTTAAAAAAAAGTCGAGTGGCAGAACTATTCTTAGAGACTGTCTTACCCAGTCACCTATTTCACAGATGAAGATATTGAGACCCAGAGAATGAAGGTCACTTGTCCAAGATTATAAAACGAGTAAGGCATCTGTTGAAAGAACAGATGAAGTTGAGGTGCCACCAACCAGGATTTCTGGCTAAAGCATAAAGTGGTAGAACTACAAACACCTCACTTTGACCAGTATGTAAAAACCTCATTCATTACCTGGATAAATCCAGCACCTGTAGTTCTGGAAAGCTGGAGAAACTTCGGCGGGCTAAGACCCTCAGAGGATTAAAGCTCAGGTCCAGGTGCTTGGCTGAGGAGGGGATGCCACTGGGGACTTTGGAGAGATTCAGCTCCATGCACACATAGGTAATGTTGGGAACCACCTGCAAAGATCACATGTTAGATGCCACAGCTACGTGTGCTCCCACCTCTCCTCTCCTGAGCCACAGATGAGGGTGCTAATTCCCTCTAAAACATGTACAACACTCAGCCAAACTTCTTTCTTGCATCCACTTGGCCATTCATTCATTCATTCACTCACTCATTCATTCATGAATGAATCCATCCATATATGAAATGCATTCAATGTCTTGCTCTAGATAGCAAAGAAAGAGCACCTGTTCTAATCTCTGATGGCAACGACAGTAACATTTAGCAGGAAGCAAAGCAAATAGAAGATAAAGGGCTCTGACATCTGGAAGCCTTAAGCTTCCTACTGTAATTTTTTGTGTAATCTGGGCAAAGCATTAAAAAGAAACTTTGGTGAACCAAATTTATTATGTGCAAAATATAAATAATAAAATACTTAGTGTTGTTCTAATCCCTCTATTGGATATAGCCATAAAGAAACTACCAATCAGGTTGTTTAAAAACTGATTTGCAATAACTTAGCAGAGAGTACAGAAATGAGGGGCCTTCTTTGGGCCATCCTTACCATAACTGAGGTAAAGCACTCTATGCTGGGTTGGTTTGTGTGCTGGTTTCTTTTCTAATTTCTCATACTCAATGTAAGCCTTATTCTGTAACCTATGGAATGTCAGAATTCTCTGATTTCTTCCAACAATATTCTTTGATTAAGCAAGCTAGTTTTGGTTCTCTGTTGTTTAAATCTAACAAAATCTTCTTAAACAATTAAATGAGATAAGGTAAAGAGCTTATCTCAAAGTTTACTACAATGTAACTGTTGAATACATGTTACCATTAATAACTACTATGAATCTCCCACTGTATGACTGCAAATTTCTTTTTGCTATATGCTATAATTTAATCTGAAAAGCAACCTCTTAAAGAGGAAGAATACACAAATTCACAAAGATGAAATAATACACATAGCCACAAAAGTTTATATCCATGCTTCTTCACTTCATTCCCATGTATGCTTAAATGTCATCAATTATAGGAGCCTTGGAGCCACCATTATGGAGTAGAGACTCTTGTCCATGATTCCTTGTCCACCTTCTGTTTTCCTCCACAGCTATATCATAAGGCAACATCACGTTGCCTCCACGATTCTTACTTAAATATTGTTCATTTTCTACACTACAGTGTAAGCTTTGATAGCCTTGCTTTCTGCTTCATCTCTGTGCTCAGAACAGTGCCTAGCAAATGGCCATTAATCAATAATTCCCTGTTGGAAAAATAAATGAAAAACATTGAATACTTGATTGTACCATTTGCTTAAGCCCAAATGCTATGCAATTTTGATCAGCAATCTGGACCATAACACAAGGACAAACCTGATGTGGTCCTCAGCTTCAATGAGGTGAGAGACTAGGTGGCTACTACAAAAGTGGACTGATCACTGTCCACAGCATCCCCAAGTCAGGGCTGCAAAATATGTCCCATGGCTTGGAGAAAGTAGAGATTCATTGTGGATTCAGACGTGGCTAACAAATGGTATTGTAACTGTCCTACTAACCTGTTTTGTAACTATCTCATTGCCATTTCCTTCTCAATAAAATTAATAAAAAATAAATAAATGAATACATGGATTTTTGGAAGATAAATTAGATTCAAATACATACAAATGGGCAGAGGGAAGCATTGCATAGGAAAGAAGAGGGTGACAAGGAAAGGAAGGGAAGCTTGGGAAGCTCGCTCGGACTCTCCCAAAGAGCATTTGAAACCAAAAGGGGGTTGTGGCCAACTTCATGGGGCAGTTGAAAGAGATGGCTCTGAAGGAAAGACACATTAGTAAGGTCTACATGGAGGGAGTGATTCAGTCATGAAGATGACAGGACTGTGCTCCCCAGCACAGCAGCCATGAGCCACACACCTAGAGCCACACACCTACTGAGCACAAGCATGGGGAACACTATAAACAGACAAGAGTGCTGAAGGTGAGATAAATATGTATTCAGGAACGTATAGTAACGGAAAACACATAATACTATATCATATATTAATAATACAATATCTACTTATTATATATTCTACCCATACAAATACACCTCGGTGACACATTGGGTCACAAATCCTCCCATTTGCAGACAATTTGGTTCTTAAACAAAAGCATCCTGCAAAATATGGCTTTCATTCCCCAGACTGGGGACAAACACAACCACAGCCATTTTCCCCTGTACAAACACAACCATCTCTGTCTTCTCCCAACACTGTAAAACAAATTAAGTTCCTAAACCAAGACATCAGGGTACACATCCAGTACTTGTTTCTTTTTACTTCTTGAATGTGGCTACTAGAAACTTCAAAATTACCTACATAGGCCACACACTATTGTCATGGGACAGCACTAATTGAAAGCAAAGGCCTTATGGCAGGAAGCTACTCTTTGGCTGTGGAGTTATTAAAAGTTTTTAAAGAGAGTAATTTGCTATATCCAAGCATCTGGAAAATCAACAAATGAAAACAAACAGAAATGAGCAGACTTGGACTCTAAAGGGTGAATTAAGAGTCCCAGCATTAGTCACTCCTCAGGAATCCAGGCCATGGCAGCCCAGGCCCCAGCCTAGGGCAGCCTGGCGGATGGGCAGGGGGAGCAGGCTCTGGTCCCCACCGAAGGATCCTGGGCTTTTACCCTAAATTAAGGCTGGATCCTGATTAACATAAAAGGAGGGACAAAAACAGGAAAGCAAGGACGCTGGGCAGGAAACTGGGAGACAGTAGTACTTCAAGATAACAAATTAGTCTTTGTTACACATCAAATTACACTGTTTTTTCCCCTGTCCTCAACTTTCCTGGAGATTCTGGCTCTGTCTCATACTGAATCATCTTGACTGTTCAGTCTACCGTGTGTGCCGGAGTGAAATGCAAGAGACTAAGTCGGAGACCAGTTACTCACCAACTGGTCAGTATTTCACAAAGAAGGAAAGAACTGTATTAGCTGACCTCTCCCCTCCACCCTTTTCTCCTATTTTTCTTTCTCTATTTCCTTCTGTAGCTCTAGCGCTCTCTCTCTCTCTCTCTCTCTCTCTCTCTCTCTCTCTCTCTCTCTCTGTCTTCTCTCTCTTACTCTTACTCTTTTTTCAACCTCTGGGCTGAACTATATAACCCTATGTAGACGTCCGCAATTCACTTAGAAGTTGCTTTCTCTTAAGAAGCAAAAAGACCCAGGCGTAGCACATGCCTGTGATTCCATATATATGGCTTGGAATGTGGTTCCCAGCGAAGGCCCTGGGTGCAGTCCCCAGTGCTAAAAATAAAAGCAAAGAAAAAGAAAATCACCTTCATCCTGAGAGTAAAAGGGACCCAGTGACTGCTTAAAGCGGGTCTAAAAACTACAAATACAAAGCCGTTGCAACGAAGCAGCCCTTCTAAAACTTTCCAGTGAAACATGACTATTACAATTATTTTATGGGTCATCGCCAGTCCCAGAGAGGCCTAGGAAGTTCCCCCACTGTCACACAGCCAAGGCGGCCGCAGAACAGTGACTTCAAGCCAGTCTAACTAATCTAAGGCACATCGCAGCGTTGAGAAGTCCCAAGCAGGACAACACACCATCAGCTGCCTGGTAATTAACTAGGAGTTATTGGCTTCCTGGGGCTTTTCAAGTCTGGCTCCTTTAATTCCTTTTTAGGTTGCAAGTTCTGGGCAGACAGCGGTTTTCAGGCCAGGAGGGAAGCTCGCAGGAGAAGCGCTCCCGGAGCACGTACCTGCACGCAGGGCTCCCAGCCGTCGGCTCTCACGCAGGCGAGGAAGGCCATGGCTAGGATTAGCGTCCCAGCCAGGCGCCGCGGAGGCGGCGTCATCCTGGCATTTTCTGCGAGCGGCAGCGGCCGCGGGGAAGCATGCCTGGCTGCCTGCCTCGGTGAGGCACCTGAGAGGGCAGAGTCCCGCGGTTCTGGGCTCTTCAATCCGGTGAGTGCCGTGGGGTAACGACTGAATTCAAAGCAGGCAAGGGTAGGAGGCGAGGAGGAAGCGAAAGTGCCAACCTTAGCTTCCTGGGGTTTCGTTTTTCTACAACTTGTCCCCAGCCTCTGGAGGGGAAGTTCGAAGAAGCAAACCTCTTACTGACCAGGGGTTGGAGCAACAAGAGGAAGCTGGCGCTCGTCCCGGGAAGTCATCTGACCTCGCTCTGGTGCATTTAGGAAAATTATGAGACCTCCTTTACAGAGCGGGCTCAGCCACCTGGAATTGCAGTGGGTTTACCATAGTTTTTCAGTAGTGGAAATTACTGTTTGTACTGATTGAGGCTGCCACAGAACTACAGAAAGTAATCCCAGGCTAGGTGGTTTACAGAAGTTAGCAGGTTCATAGAAGCCAGCAGGTGTGTCTGTCTTCTGTGTCCAGATCTCTGCCCTTCCCCCGCCCTTTCCCTCTCCCTTTTACCCGTCCCTCCCCTCCCCTTCTCTCTTCCTCTCCCTTCTGTTTCCCAGGACTTGCACAGAGCAGTATTAGAGACAGCCAGTCTCAAAGTTCACATGTATATATGTATATTTTAATTCTGAGACAGGCTGTCTCTTGACTTGCCCAGTTTGCTTTTAAAATTGTAATCCTTCTGCCTCAGCCACCCAGAGAGCTTGGAGTACAGGCATGTACCGGATTGGACTGGACTAGCCCCCTTAGCTGCACGCAGACAGGTACCTATAATCCAAGCACCGGAATAAACTCAAGCAGGAAGATTGTAACTTCAAAACTAGTCTGGGTACTTAGTGATTTAGTGAGATACTGTTTCAAAATTAAAAAAAAAAAATGAAAATGGGCTGGGGATGTAGCTCAAAGTGTAGGCCTAATCCAAAATTATATACATGAATGAAGATAAAGGATGTTAGCCATATTATATCAGGATCTAACCACACAGCTTCAGTTTACCTTACTTTCTTTGTTAAAGGCCCAATCTTTGCATTTAGTCACCATCAGAAACATATGACCTTTTGCTAAAGGTATACAATACAGTTCATCAAACTGATTGAAAGTAAAGGGCCAGACAAATAGCTCATTGTATGAAAATGCCTGCAAGAAGGTTCAGAGACCAGGTTCGATCCTAGGGCCTGCGTGCTGGCCCCGCCCCTGGGGCTCACTGAGACAGCAATTGAGACTCGGCATGGTGGCACACACCTGTAATCCCAGCTCTGGGGGATTACAGCGTTTTAGGGAGTCTGTAAACAGGTGGATCGCTATGAGATCTAGTAGTGAGAACCTGAACACCCTGTGGACCCTTCCCTAAAATACAAAAAGAAAGAAAGAAAAGAAAAGAAAAAGAAAGAAAGAAAGAAAGAAAGAAAGAAAGAAAGAAAGAAAGAAAGAAAGAAAAGTCCCAGTGCCAAATACTGAAGTTCAAATCCAGGCCAAATGGACTCAACACACATTACTAAATCTTAATTTCTGACCTGTAAAGCTAGAAGCAGTTTTTAATCATGCGAGAAACTCATATGCATACAATTTATAAAATAAAACCAGGCAATGATAGTCAAATCACACAAACTACCAAGCTTTCATTTTCTGGTCTTGGAAATGAAGATAATTATGTTTTCCTTGTGTGATTGAATTAAGATAATTTACAAAAATGTCTAGTGTGGTGCATGGCTGATGGTTACATTTCATCAATGATAGCTATAATGAATATATTAAGCATGTGGTTAAGGCAGAGTGGTGATATTGTCATGGGACTCAATGGGCTAGCTTTTGTAAAGTTTTAGGATAGTATCTGGAAAGAAACAAGAGCAATGTAAGTTTCTATTACATAAAAACAGTTTAAACTGAGATATTATCTTTATGATGTGCTTGATAGTTTCCCTGATATACAGTATCACACTGACACCACAAATGCAGCAGGTAGGAAACCTGATGATGGGGCATCATGTCCTAAAGGACTGAGTGCAGATTCTTGCATATTTCTTCAACCCACCAGCATGACTGAACTCAATACAAAGCCGCTGAGAGGACCTATGCTTGGGGATGAATGGAGACTACTCGTATGACAATCTTAGAGCGCAGCCCGGCACAGGGGAAGTGCTCAATAAAGTTGGAACTGTAATGGTGTTTTTCTCTCATATAAGCATCCAACATGAGAGTCTCTTTGAAGTTTGTGACTCTACTTTTCTCACTTTTCACACTGCCCATATATGAACTCTGTTTTCTACATAAGTTGCTTCTGTATTTACCATTGGGCTACTATCACTATAAAATCATCACAAGTTGAAAATATAAGTCCAAAACCTGCGTGTAATACCCCTGCACTACCAAATATAATAGGTCACAACACAGCCCATTGTGAAGCAGACGTTGTAGCCCTCCTGATCCTGATCGTATGGCTGAGCAGGACCTGCAGTTTTCAGCCCCTGTCCAGCCTTGCAGAGTTTATGAGGGGTGAGGGAAAACCCTGGTTGAATGTTTAAATTTAAAGAAAAATGATTAGAGTAAAAGACTCCCATCATCCTCCTCAAGATCCCCTCCCTTGCTGGGAACACACATATCCTACTGTTCTGGCCACTTCCTTAAGCAGTGCTGGAAATTCTCTTTCACGTCTTTACAAGGTATGATAAAAAGCCCAAAAGAAAAGCAAACATCTACAAACATTATGGGTGCACTGAAAACTCCTGATTCGTTGTGCAACTTCTGGTTTCTCCACACAGTCAAAATGACTGCGGAGGGAAAGCATTTGGGGATAGATTCACAGCATCTGGGCAGCCACAGGAGATTAAGGACAATCAAAAAAGAGGGCTTCCAGCACTGCGTCAGACAGTGGGAAGCATGGGATAAGGGGACTTGAAGTGAAGCAGAGTATTTTGAAGGGGATGAACAGCAGTGTGCTTTTTTTGCTACAATATATTGTTAAAATTTTACATGTACAGGGCTGGTGACATACCTCAGCCACCTAAAGCTCTTGCTTAGGCAAGCTTAGGCAAGCCTGCAGGGACTGTGGTTCCATCCCCATGCCACATGCCACACCTGCCCAGCCAAAAAAAAAAAAAAAAAGACAAAAAGTTATACATGCACAACTTTTTAAACCTCAGAGCACACACCCCACTGCATGCAGCTAGTTTGGGAGAAGATTGAAATGAACAGCCCCTTCAGTGTTCTCCCTGATGAGGAAGAGAGTCTCCCGCCCAGGGCAGTGAACTCCTGCAGATAAGGGCCTCACCCTGAATCACACCTTCGATGTGACCTTTGTTGACCCACGCCAACTCTGAAACACTCTTTTATCTGGCTCATAATTATACTCAAGGAAACATCTCAGGCTCATGGTTTCCCCCTTGTTTCTTCTACCACCTGTCTTGCCAGGGTGTTTCCCCAGATGGCCACCTGCAGGGTGTGACACGACCCTGACTCTGAATGCTGAGTGGCAATCTGTCCTGTGTGTGTGTGTGTGTGTGTGTGTGTGTGTGCACAAACATTTTATTTTTTTAAGAGAATAAAAAAATCACAAACAATACAGAATTTTACTTTACAAAAGAGGAATTTAACAATGGTTGTTACATTGCACATTGTTGTTCAGATTACCAGATATAAGCATGCAAAATTGATTTCAAAATAAGTATACATTGGTACAACCACTATGGAAATAGTGGAGATTCCTCAAAAAAAATAGTAGAAGTTCCACTCAACCCAGCTGTTTCCCTCCTGGGTATTTTTTACAGAAGAACTGAAAACCTCATACCACGGTGATATATGTGCACCCATGTTTATAGCAGTGCAAGTTGTCATAGCTAAATCTTGGAAACAACCCAAATGCCCATCAACTGAGAAATGGATGAAAAAAGATGTGGTATTTTTTATGCAATGAAGTATTACTCAGCTATAAATAAAATAAACTTGAGAATTTTATAGATCCATGGATGCAACTAGAGATCATACTCATAAGTGAAATAAATCACACTCACATGTCAATATCATATTGTCTCCCTATTGTAAGAACCTGAAAGAATAAATAAAATCTGAAAGGTACAATAGATACTATGAGAGACAGTCTGTCTTTTTCAATGAAAATATGTTTCCTGATCTTTGGGTCTCACCATACAGGAAAAGAAAAATCTCTCCCTGGTCATAAAATAGAAAATATAAAGTGATTCTAAATTTCAATCTTCATTTCTAGTGGAATTAGCATGAAATATATTCTTTGACCTAGAGTAGTGCAATAAATATACTGTCTATATCTTACAGAGTACAGCCCCACATGTTCAAAACTCTCAGCTCTTCTAATTCATCTTTAATTCTGAAATCAAAACCATCTTTCTAAAAGACAAATAGAAGCACCTTGTGCCATGCAGGTATTATGCTGAGGCTGCATGTGACCTGGAACTGAAGCCTCTCTCAATATCCTCCCAACACACCCTAGGAAGGAGAAGCAAAGCGTGAGCATTATTCCAGGCAGGATGGATAACACCACATCGCTGACACACAACGTATAAATGCACAGGGTAATAAAAGTATGTGGCATACATATGCCATTTCTTTTTTCCATCTTTGTAAAGAAAACCCTTAGGTAGTTAAAATAAAGCCTAAGAGAAAGGATTGGACAAAATGCTATAGACTCCACTTCATGAGATATCAATGCATACATTGTATAGAGGTCTTCTTGGTGAACTTTCCTGTTCACGAATAAAAAAATCTTGATGGTGCCTAGTGAGATGTTTCATTTTTAAGGGAAGTGAATGGGATTAGTATATTATCCTGTACGGACTCCTTTCAAAGTTGTCTTAGTTCTATGTGCATGTTCCAGAACACAGACATATAAAAAGAAAACTTTTATTCCCTTTAGTTATCGAGTTTTATTTGATTGCCTTGATAGGCTTATCACTGCAGCATTACATGAGGTCAGTATGTTATCAGCATGAGCTCATAAAATTTCCACGACAATAAAGTAATCATTACACCTTTAGTACAGAAGCAGGGGGAGCCACCCTTTAAGTGGAACAAGACCAGCTCAGGACTCATAATCATCCAGCCAATGAAGGCAACTCCTTTCTTCCAGCACTTGGAAGAAGTATTTAATACTGCATATTTCTTAAGCAACTTATTGTTTTCAAATTTTTTAAAAGAATAAAAAGTATTTAAAAGTATTAGCAATAAT